AATCAACACAAAAACATGTTGAGAGAGAATCCTGGGGATGATAATATTGTGCCTCTGTAAATGTCTTTGTTACACACGCCTGTAATGTCACCAGAGGAGTTACCAGATGGAAATCCCTGCTTATTAAAATTGAAGCTTTGGCTTTTCATTGCCTCACATTTAAATTTATGAATGTCATTTGATTTCTTTGGGCCTTGTGGACATTTATCAAATAAATGGCAATTCTCAGAGTACAGCAACTGGGGTGTTGAATATACCAAGCTTTCAGGTGACACCACTGCTCCCTGACCTGAATTAATTACCTGAGAAATCTTGTAACATAAATACAGTTTGAGCACAAGTCACTGGGTTCTTCCCCCTTCCCTGGCCCCCACCCCCTGCGTGCACACACACTTTTGCTGGGTGAAGAAATGGCTCACAGCACTCATGTGATGAAATCCCAGTTCATTGAAGAAAATGGCAAAATTCCCATGGACATCAATGAGGTCAGGATTGCACACATGATTGGCAGAGACATGCATGGACTCTCTGAATCTTGCCCAGTGGCATCACATGGCTTCTTCTGCCTTCAGAAACTTCAAGGGTAAGTGGGCTGGATTTAGCCCATAGTTAACAGGTACAATATTTAGGTTTATTTTCCTAATAGTAGACAATGTTTCTTTTCTTTGTTATATTAAACACACACACATACAAACTGATGCCTTTTCTTTAAAGGTAAATTCCTTATAGTACCACTGACTTTTCTACTTTTACCATCACTATCAATTGGGCGGAACAGCTCTGTTGCTTCAACTATAATATACAAAATTAAATCAATGTATGGGACATCCTCACAGAAAAGTATTAGATACTATAGCAGGTTCTAGTGCCCCTGTAAGATACTCTCACTGGTTCTCCTACTTGTGTGTAGAGACCTGGTCTGTAGAGAAATACTGATATTTTTTCCCCAGAGACCTCAAAGTTGTTAGCTGCAACAATAAGTTTATCTTACAAAGAACTGTTCTTACAACTTTTCCATAGTAAAAAGTTGTCAGAAATTATCCCAGGCAGTTGGGAGAGCGAATCCAACAGTGTTTTTGTTATGAGCAGTGGAGTACAGAGAGGCAGTTTCATTTCGGCAGATGAACTTCAACACTGCCCTCTTCCTTAGAAACTAGAAAGCAATAATAGAAGATCAGCCTTTGCTTTCCCACTGGTAATAATTGTGTTTTGTTGCTCCTTCAGGATAGTGATAGCCTGTGATGTTTTAATATTAACAGCTTTATTCTGATGAGTTCACAGCTCCATCTATTAGTATTAATTAGTTATCTAGCAGCATGGTGGATTGACAGATCTTAACACCCCTCTCCCCAGGGGTTAATATCAATTAATGCAGAAGAAGAAAAAAACAGAGTGGAGGAGGATGAAACTTGCACTTGAGTAGTCTCTCATCCCCTGTCTCCCCCCTTTGTGTTTTCTTTTTTTCTGCTAGGAATTATGTACAATTGAATTTCATGACTCAACAGTCACAATAATAAAAAAGCTCTTACAAAATATAGGTTAAGGGAAATGAAGAGTTTACTGCTCATCTCTGAACTATGGCTAATTAGTGGATTTAGTGTCTGTGATGAGCACACAATGACTACTTGCTGCCAACCACAAGAGGATGTGGTTTATATCTTCTTATTGTGACCTATGCCATGGAATGGTAAACCAAAGTGTATCGATTATCAGAGTAAAAAATTAACTTCATCTGCAAAATGTTGGGCTTCTTTCAATTTCTGGTATTGTACTCCCACAGCTGTTCTGCACTGGGCTGTCACAACCTAAGATTATTCCTCTTGTGTCCTGGATGTCCACAACAGGAAGAAAAAAAAGGTACCACAGGAAGTGATGATAGTGATTCAAAGATCCCAGAAACAAAGGATGAGCAGGACAAACATGATTTAGAGTCCAAACCTGCTCTCAGTGAAGTCAGCAGGAATCTCACATCTTTAAGGGCATTCTGGTACAAACACCAGATGGTAAAAAAGTTTGGAGAAAGAGGGCTACTAGTCTTTTTAGGAAGGCTTTCAAAACATATTTTTTGCTATTCCTCCTCCCCCAAATATAAACACTTCCTGTCAAACATGAATATGTAGTTAGGTATTGTGCACAGCTGGCCTAAGGCTTAGGGGAGGATGGGTGAATCTTTAGGAGATACTGCAAAATAAAATGACTAATTTTGCTCAGATTGTGTGTGGGAGTGTGATTTTAGAGATCCCATAATTCTCCTGGTATAGAATTTGGGTCTCAGTCTTTTCTTCCTTTCTAGACCTGCAATTGGCTTACATTGGATTAGTGGGGTTGTGAATTCCAGACTTTATAGTTCTAGTGTTACTGAATCAGGGTCTGGTAGCCACTGTATTTGAAAGGTAGTGTGACAGACCAGACCAGTGGGGTACAGGAGTCTGGTAGAGGGCAAATATACTGGTCACTGGATGAGTAGTTTTCTGTTCCCTGAGTGACCAGAACAGGGGCTGCACTAGAGTAATCAGGAACCTGCTAGAACCAGTTAAGGCAGGCAGGCTAATTAGGACACCTGGAGCCAATTAAGAAGAAGCTGCTAGAATCAATTAAGGCAGGCTAATCAGGGCACCTGGGTTTTAAAACGAGCTCACTTCGGTTTGTGGTGCGAATGCGAGGAGCTGGGAGCAAGAAGCTGAGAGGGTGTGCTGCTGGAGGACTGAGGAGTACAAGTGTTATCAGACACCAGGAGGAAGGTCCTGTGGTGAGAATAAGGAAGGTGTTTGGAGGAGGCCATGGGGAAGTAGCCCAGGGAGTTGTAGCTGTCATGCAGCTGTTACAGGAGGCACTATAGACAGCTGCAATCCACAGGGCCCTGGGCTGGAACCCGAAGTAGAGGGCGGGCCTGGATTCCCCCCAAACCTTCCAATTGACCTGGACTGTGGGTTCTTCCAGAGGAGAAGGTCTCTTGGCTGTTCCCCAACCCACATGGTGAATCTCTGAGGCAAGAAAATCCGCCAATAAGTGCAGGACCCACCAAGATAGAGGAGGAACTTTGTCACAGTAGTAAAGCCAGCTATGCTTTAGAGTCACGTATTCAGAGGCTTAAGGGACAGATTTTTAAAGGTATGTAGATACCTAATGAAGGAGGTAGGCATGTAGTGGTATTTTTAAGAGTATCAAAGTACTTACCTTCCTTTGACATCAGTAGGAGATAGACACCTAGTAGATTTTGAAAATCCGAATAGGTGCCTTTTCGCTTTCATAGGCACCTAAATACCTTTTTGAAATGTGGTACTGAAGGCCTATTCTTACAATGTGTTGAACACCCTCTCCATTCCCAATAAAGTCAGTGAGAATTAAGGGTGTTCAGTTCCTCACAAGACTGGGCTCTAAATGAGGACAATGCTTTGCACACCTCCAGACTGAGATCTCACACACAGTTTGTGTGTATGTGTGTGTGCAAACAAACCGCCTGCTCATTATGCATTTCTTTTTCTCTTTGGTGTTTGCATAGGGGCAACATTTAGGAACTGGGAAAGTAAAGAATCATTAATTCATGGCTGAGCCAGTGACATGTTGCACAGTTTGAAATCCCATGGGGCATTGCCCCTGAATCCCAACTACAGAAACTTCTGAGAATTCTGTGCCTAATACTTATGAATTCTTAAGGATGGTGAGCTGATCACATGGTCATACATTTGTTTCAGGATAAATATGTAGCCCCATCTACTGATATTGGCAAGTGTGTATATTTTCTTGGAACACTTTCCTCTAGAACACCAGTTTTTACATGCACCTCTCTAAAGCTGCTGCGGGATATGCCAGATGCTCTCAGCAGCACTAGAGAGCTGCATTTAAGGGTTCAAAACTGAAGTTTGTAGCACTACTTTTGTACCATAAGTTACAACTGTGCTTAATTTAGGTATACTTCTGCTATATATTTCCATTACTTATAGCAGAAGCAAAAGGGATTTTATAGTCCAGCTCATCAGCTGGTATAAATCAGGAAGTCAATAGAGCTATGCTGATTTATACCAACTGAGGACCTTGCATTATATTTGTTAGTTGCATAGTTATGGGCCTGTTTCTTCCACTCAGCACCTTACTCTGTGAGTTGTATTACTGATTTTGATATATGACAACTTGTGAAGAAGAGTACTACTCAACATGGGTAGAGAATTCCCCCCCTCCCACTCCATACATTTACTTTTCGGTTCTTAATTGGTACATAACTGAACTATTTTTCAGATCTGTTTAGTTCATACCTAGATTTATCATATAAGCTTTAGGTTTTTATCATGATATATTTTGAATATGTTATGTGGTGCAACTGGATTAGATGCAGTTATTTGAGTGATAAAACTATATTTTAGAGGCTTCTAAATCAAACTTTTAAGATACAACATTTTCCAAACTCTTTCTTGAACATATTTTTCATCAGTAAGAATAGGGATTTTTTGTTTTGTTTTTGTTTTTTTCAGTCTTAGCTGTCAAAAATACACTGATGCAAACTAGTCGGATAACTAGGTCAATTTTGTCAACCAACTTATTTTTCATTTATTTTTTATTTTTAATCTCCTAACTGCAGAGTATAGCTGTTGGGCTTTTGTAATGTTTTATGTATTATGTTGATATACATCAATTATTTCAGCAGCAATCATATTTAATGCTAAGCTGATTGCAAAGTATTGCTTACCTTGCCAGAAGACAAAAAGGAAAAAAAAAAGCTTTAAAGTTGGGCAGTTCTTTAAGGAATTATCAAGAGCCTACAAGGACTAATATCCATTCAAAAATATGGAAATAAATTTAGCCTCATCCTGAGAAAGATACATAAGCTACTTTCAGAACATGAACAAACCACAACTCCTATGTAAAAAGGAGTGAACAAGAGGGGACAGCAAATCAGACCAGAGCATGTTATAGTTAAGAAAATCATTAATAGCTCAAAAGAGCTCGTACAAATAAGTCCTAAAACATTATATATTACATTTATTTATATTTTCAGTGTCAGTACTATCATTTTTATTTGTTTTGAATGTATGGGCATTGTTGGGATGACTGGCTTCAGTGGGAGCTAAGCAGATGAGGGAAAAGAAATCAATCTTAATAGAAAGTTAGATTAGAGCGGAGGTGGACAGAAAGTCCCTGTCACTGGTACTGGACTGGTTTAAAACAAATGTAACCTCATCACTAGAAAAAAATATGTTTTGGAGAAAATAAGTGTTTTAATTAAGTAAAAATGAGCCCCATGCTCCCGTCCATAACAGAATGGGAATAAAACACATGAATCTGGTTGGGTAGTGTCAGATCTGGAGGAGAAATTGTGTGGAAGCATGTTCCCCTTATCTCTGTGCTCTGCAGAAGCTCCTCTACCAGGGCTTCATGGATGGAGAGGAGGCCAAGCAGGGGGATGTTGCTCATGCTCCATGAGATTCTACCTCCACAATAACTGTCAGTCAAATCAATGTAAGTTACGGTAAAGTCTACAGCAACTTGTGCAGATTCTTACTCCGCGGTATAGAATGTGTAGAATTCCAGGAAATGTGTTGAAAATACAGTGAAATGGAGAAATGGAGGGCAGGTGACAAGGCAGAAGTGAGAAGCCAGTGCTTGGATGAACCTTGCATATAAGTGATCCCTCACACATTTCAAACAGGATCAGCAGGTTTAGACACAGATCCTGCCATGTGTTAACAAAAGGAGGCCTAAAATAAGATTTTTTTTCTCTCTGCCTGCATTACAAATACACCATTCAGATCTAGTGATAGGGATAGGACAGAGGCCATCTTGTGAATCCATGTTGACCACTTTCAGACAATGCCAAAGTCAATAAAACACCATGAATCTGAGAATGAGTAGAAGGTAATGAGAAGTGACATGAGCCTCCCTAAAAATTTCTTTTTAATGAATATTTAAACAGACCCAGAGGCTGACCTACAATTAATATGGATTGATGCAATATGCCATGTAAAATTACATGAAATCTTCAACGGCCCAGAGATTCAGATAGTCACTTCTGTTTTCAAGTATTACAAATATGTATTTAAAATATGATTTTAAAACAATTTTAGTACTCTTGGAAGATTCATTACTGATCATCTTCAAGATTTACAAGAAGGGTTTTGGGAGAACTGCTGAGGTCCACACTGTATATTCCCTTTTTGAGGGTAAAGAAAATATGGTGGTGATCCATGTTGACAGAAGAGAGGTATTTTTAGTAGAAATCCAGACTGGAAGAATAGATATGTTTTCTTTAGTCATTATATAATAAATCTGTTAAAAAGGAGAGTTAATGTCAGAAAGATCCATATTTATTCATGTTTAAATTGAAGTTAGCTGTATACCTTTGTAAAAAATTGTCATAATTGTCAAGGACATTTAGGTATGTGTTTCCATAACAGATGTAGTGATTCAAATGCAGCAATCCTGTATAGCAGCTGTGACCTTTCAAAGGTTCCTAGTGTGTCACTATTTAGAAATCTGAAATCTATTTATCTGCAATAGAAACACACTTGCAATGAGAACTCAAAGTTCATTGATACAGTTTTTTTACAGCTGAGGTATGAAAATCAGGTAGAACTGTATGGTCATTCAAGCCACTGGGAAAATGGATATTGTAGTGCAGGTACATGAGAATTGTTTAAGCCTTGGGAACAAATACAGGAATTTATTTTTGATACTGAAACACTTTCATTTTAAATGACAAGAACAGAGAAAAAAATGTCCAAAATCCTTTATGGAATATTTGTACATATTAGACAAACATTTAAGACCACACAAGCTTTCACTCATTCATTAGAGTGAACTTTCTCTTTGCAGCAGGCAGTATCTGTGCATTCCATTTCAATTAAAATATAAAGGAGCACATCTAATCATTCCTGCTTACATAGACAAGGCCACCTAGTGGCTTCTTTCAGAGTAGTGGCTTTCAGAGTAGTGGCTTCTGTATGCCTAATGCACTCTGTCCTGGCACAACTGCTCCAGGCTTTGAATTAGCTTTATCTTACTTGCAAGAGGTACCCCGTGAAGAGAGAGACAGATGATAAGTTTTCCTGTGGTCTATGCAGATCTGGTGGAAACCAGCTCTATTCTGATCACTGGGTTTCCTGGAATATCAATTTTAGAAATCAAGCAAGCTCTTATTGTTGCTCACCATATAGCTCATCCTGAATGCCATATCAAAACCATATGAATCTTCTGTCAATTGACTTAGGCAAGGATTACAAGGTTCTTCTTTTAATCCATTAAACTTGTAAATAATACATTTTCTGGTAGATTTCATTTTGCTGTTACCTATGTGTGTGCCTGCTTAATTCTTTTCAGTTTATTTAACAGACCATCATAATTTTCATAAGCTCTTACTTATTTTTTAAGCAGAAGAAAATTACAGGGTGTAAGGATGGAGAATTGTTATGAGAGAGGGGGGTTAATTTACATAGATGCCTGGTTTGCTGGTAATCAGTTTTATTGAATGGTCTTGGTGCATTTTATTTATATGTAGGTATTGATTTTGACTTTAAGTTATGTCAGGGGTCGGCAACTTCTGACACGCGGCTCGCCAGGGTAAGCACCTTGGCGGGCTGGGCCAGTTTGTTTACCGGCCGCGTCGGCAGGTTCAGCTGATCACGGTTCCCACTGGCCGCGGTTCGCTGCCCCAGGCCAATGGGGGCGACGGGAAGCCGCAGTTAGCACATCCCTCGCACGTGCAGCTTCCTGCAGCCCCCATTGGCGTGGGACGGTGAATCGCAGCCAGTGGGAGCCGTGATCGGCCGAACCTGCCAACGCGATCTGCATGCCAGAGGTTGCCGACCCCTGAGTTATGTCAAGGCTGTCTACAGCATATGGATAAACATCCTTTTTCATTGTGTGTGTTTATGTGTGTGTGTTTGTGTGTAAATCTAAAGAAATAAGAGTATCTTTCATGCACAATTACAGTGTGGTGCACAAATAAAATAATGATTTAGCAGTCTGTTTTGGTATAACTGAGGCCTCTATGACATGGGATCTAATTATCATATAAAATTAGATGAGAGCTCACTACAAAAATGGGTGTTCCCTCATTTTTAAAAGCACTGGGAATCAAGAATCAAGGTGATATTTAAATGCTTATGTATCCGTACGTGATAACTAATAATAATCTTTAGTTACATCTATAAAAATGACCACTTAGGTTAATTAAATCATTTTTATCTTCCAATAGATCAGTTGCAGAAGATACATTCAAAGTCTATCATTTCTGAACTTGTCTGGGTCTCTTAGCAAATCATAACCTACTAGAGGAGGTTTTACTTTTTTCTTACTGTTTTTATTACACTTCAAGTATACTGCTGCTTTTTTTCCTGTCAAATGTATAGTAATAAGGCTAAAAGTCCACGGTTTTGAAACTGCAAACCCTTATTCACGTGAGTAATCCCACCTAATCTGATAGTCACATGGATAATCCATGCTAAATTCAATGGGACAACACATGTGAGTAGGAGTGTAATGGCTCAGGACCTAAAATTACGGATAGTATTAGTTAAGGTGTTCCTGGGCTTTGATTCACTCTATTTTTGATACACCAAGGAAAAAACCTTCTAGATATGTGAAGGAAGCAATTTTATTGATTAAACAATTGAGACATTTGACCTATTAAAACGGTAGTGATGTATCTTGTTTCTCTTAAAACTGCTTAATTTTAATTCCAATTTTTTTTTAAAGCCTGACACCAGTTTTTTCCCCCCATATATTTATTCATAACATAATACCCTTATCTAGGTTCTACTTAAAGGTCACAGAATAGGAGAACTAATTGCAATGAACTAAGAACAACTTAAAATCAGCACAATTAAAATACAGGAAAATGATCAAGTTCTATTATATGCAATATACTATTATAACATAAAATAATGAAACCATTTTACATGCATACTGTATTTCCAACTGGAAAATCTTAACCTTTTCGAAAGGACGTTAGAATAATGAAAAGCATGAGAGTTTGTACAAACAAACTTACTTGGTCCATGGGAATTTGAAAGTTCAAAACAGCTTTAGATGTCAGATTTTAATTTGCAGCATGTCTACTCCTAATTAACCTAACTATGAAGCTCAACTAGAAAGTGCATTGGGGTGGGGGAGGGGAGCATGTTTCCAGTATAACAGATAAATAGCTAGCTATTACCTAGGTGTTGTTTGTGGATAGCTTACCTCCTCAGAGATCCTTAAATGGGATTGTTTGGCAGTAATGAGTTTTCCCTCAGTGAGGAATTGCTTTTGCAAACATATAGTGCATTGAAAGGCCCTATTTGCTTGAAGACTATATATACTTGTAATTTTCCTGTAAACTATAAAGATATAATTTACGGGAGAAACTTAAAGTAGTATACTCAGAAAAATTCTGTTATTATGGTCAGAATCTGTTTTTGCAGGTTTTCCCCCTTCTTAATGTCTCTTTCTTTAAGCTTTTAGAATTTCAAGATTGAATTGAGTTCCACCATCAGTGGTGGGATTCCAACAGTTCCATACTTCTGAAAGATACCGTATGTGTTGGCCAAAATTACAGCTTTTATCATTTGAGTACAAAAGGTTTTTTTTCTGGGAATTTACAGGTAAGTTGGTTAATTAATGACTGACTCAATATTATTATTTTTTTAAAAGTCCTTTAAGACATGTAATATCTGGTTTCACATCATTGGTTTGTCTTGCTTTATTTTAATAACAGAATAATTCCTTTATAGTTAAAACTAATTGAAATATTGTGCATAGGTTACATTGGAATGTAGATAGATAGACTGATAGACAGATATAGATATATACAGAGAGAAAGAGAGAGATTAATGGTATATTTTTATCATTAGTCTTCGTAAATGTAAGTTTCTCCTCCAGCATAGGCTGCTGAATAATGCCAGAAGGAAGAAATCTTTACATGTTAAGTTATAGGAATGCACAGTTTGGCACTTTAACTGTCACATTTCAAGGCAACTGCACCTGTACTTCCCTCTCGTCGTCCAACAAAGGACCTTTTACTCTTCTAGTTGCCCAGTCATCACCCCTCTTGGACAGAGATGTGTCCTTTCCCTCTTGCCTGGAGTAATCCAATCTGTACAGTTCCCTTCCTATACTGTAAAATCCCCAGCAATATAGATTGCCTCAGCAGGCATGCTTTGCCTTCCTTCCTCAGATGCTGTAAACAAAGTAACTGCCCACAGTTAAGTCACCACCCAGTGCTTTCTAAGGCCAGGTCGCCACTGGGGTGGCGGGGGGGATTGATCTAAGTTACACACCTTCAGCTACGTGAATAACGTAACCAAAGTCAACATACTTAGAGATACTCACCATGGTGTCTTCACTGCAGTAAGTCGACAGCTGACGCTCTTCTGTCAACTCCGCCTGCGCCTCTCGCCCTGGTGGAGTACCAGAATCGACGGGAGAGCGTTCGGCAATCGATTTATCGCGTCTAGACTAGATGCGATAAATCGACCCCCATTGGATTGATCGCTGCCCGTCGATCCAGCAGGTAATGTAGACAAGCCCTTAGAAAGCACATTTATTCTTAAGGTAAAAACATTACAGATAAAACATGAAAAACAATAAAAGAATCTGCACACGTTATTAACCTTACACCCCATCTCTGGCAAATGATCAGTCCTTCAAACCCAACTAAGGTTTGGGCTTTTTCTGTGGTCAAAAATTCATTGCAGCCTCAGCTCAAAACAACCACAAACATGAAACTGTGAATCACTCTTTTTATCTAGATTGGGCCTCTGATCTTGTCCTCATGTTACAGGTGATCAATAGACAATGGGTTTCCTCTCAGAGTGTTGCTTAAAAAGGTTGGGTCCAGAGATGAGAAGTTGCCTTCCCCTCCTCCCAAGTATTTCCTAGGAATCTCTCATAACTTTGTTTGTCAAGCACATTGTTTCAAAGAGTCCTTGGTATCTCATAATACTTCCCAGGGTTTACATTAACTATGTCTCCTCCCCAGAGATGTTACATACAATCCCACAATAATACATACACATTTGCATGCTTAATACAATGAACGCCTGAAAATTAATTAAATAAGGATGAACTTAATTTAGTAAAAATTTTTCCAGGAAGTTGCCATATCTGTCACACAAATAAACCTAACTTTGCCCCGTAATGAAACCAGGAAAGAGGGGCAAAAAAGAAATAAAATCTAATGCCTCTTTAAAAATTAGCTTTATCTAAACTGGAACCATAAACACTAAAATACACAAATCCTAGTCATACAGTTATTGAATAGTCTCTCTACAGGGCAGAGTTAAGGTGAT